CCTGCGTGGTCTTCCCCTGCGTGGTCTTCCCCTGCGTGGTCTTCCCCTGCGTGGTCTTCTCCTGCGTGGTCTTCCCCTGCGTGTTCTTCCGCTGCGTGATCTTCCGCTGCATGATCTTCTGTGTGTTCTTCTCCTGTGTGATCTTCTCCTGCGTGGTCTTCTCCTGCGTGGTCTCCTCCTGCGTGGTCTTCCCCTGCGTGGTCTTCTCCTGCGTGGTCGTCTCCTGCGTGGTCTTCTCCTGCGTGGTCTCCTCCTGCGTGGTCTTCCCCTGCGTGGTCTTCCCCTGCATGATCTTCCCCTGCGTGGTCTTCTCCTGCGTGGTCGTCTCCTGCGTGGTCTTCTCCTGCGTGGTCTCCTCCTGCGTGGTCTTCCCCTGCGTGGTCTTCCCCTGCATGATCTTCCCCTGCGTGGTCTTCTCCTGCGTGGTCGTCTCCTGCGTGGTCTTCTCCTGCGTGGTCTCCTCCTGCGTGGTCTTCCCCTGCGTGGTCTTCCCCTGCATGATCTTCCCCTGCGTGGTCTTCTCCTGCGTGGTCGTCTCCTGCGTGGTCTTCTGCTGCGTGGTCTTCTGTGTGTTCTTCTCCTGCGTGATCTTCTCCTGCGTGGTCTTCCCCTGCGTGTTCTTCCGCTGCGTGATCTTCCGCTGCATGATCTTCTGTGTGTTCTTCTCCTGCGTGGTCTTCCCCTGCGTGGTCTTCCCCTGCATGGTCTTCTCCTGCGTGGTCTCCTCCTGCATGGTCTCCTCCTGCATGGTCTTCCCCTGCGTGGTCTTCCCCTGCGTGGTCTTCCCCTGCGTGGTCTTCCCCTGCATGATCTTCCCCTGCGTGGTCTTCTCCTGCGTGGTCTTCTCCTGAGTGGTCTTCTCCTGCATGGTCTTCTGCTGCGTGATCTTCTGTGTGTTCTTCTCCTGCGTGATCTTCTCCTGCGTGGTCTTCCCCTGCATGGTCTTCTCCTGCGTGTTCTTCTCCTGCGTGGTCTCCTCCTGCATGGTCTCCTCCTGTGTTCTTCCCCTGTGTGTTCTTCTCGTGTGTGGTCTTCTCCTGTGTGGTCCCCTGTGTAGCCCCCTATGTATTGCTCACTGTTTTAAGAATTGTGCTATTTGTGTGTGAAGGGTAGCACATGCCTGTGCACACGTATGTGCATGTTGTGTGAAAGCCAGAGGACAACTCCCTTCAACTTATTTTTGAAATACGATTTCTCACTGGCCTGAAGATACCAGCAAACCTCAGAGATCTTCCCATCTCTGCCTCTCCAGTGCTGGGAGTATGTGCTTGTGTCACCCTGCCAGACATTTTCACGTGGGTTCTAGGGATTGAACTCAGGCTTCTCGTACTTACAAGGCAAGCAGGTCATTCACCAAGCCATCGCCAGCCCTCAAGTCACCTTTGAGGGGAGTGCTTGTGCTTAGTCTGTTACCAATTATCAGTTGCCCCTGCTACCGCTGGCTGCAGTTTTTATGGACACTCTACTGGGCTGTTGCCAAGGACTTCTCCCACAGTGCTCTCCTGTCCTCCAGCTGGAGTGATGGCTGAACCAGGACTCATTTACATTCTGTGCCACTAATGCAAACAAACCTTGATGGCTGCAGGTCCCCATCTTGGGGACATCGCCCCTGCTCTGAAGGCTGTGCCCAACCCTTTGCGTGGCTGTTGTAAGCACTTCTTCCAGTGTGTGAGAGCTTTTAATGTTCATAAATCTTGAAGAGCCAAACTGCAGTTGTCCTTGCTGAAAGGAGACTCTCTCTCTCCATGAAATCCCAGGGTCTCAGCTGTGGGAAAGCACAGCGTGGACAGGATGGGAAAGAGGAAGAGGCAGGGGCTGTGGGGTGAGGGGGGTCTCTCTGATGGTCCTGGCCTCACGGGAGCTGGGTAGGGGTCCCTCCACCATGTCAGGGAGCCACATACCAGGTGACAGAAATGCTCAAGTCCCTCTCCCCATGTGCCGCTGGAAGACAGAGGGTTGCTGAGTTGAGCTTGGCTTCTGCCTCTGGAGGGCACAGACTCTCTAGCAGTGTCTCCTAAAGGGCTGGGACAGAGCTAAGACCCACAGTGAGGCCCATCTCTTGCCTATGCTGAGCCAGGCTGGGGTCCTGCACTGACTCCCCACTCAGCTTCCGTCAGTCCCTAGTCCACATCAGAGCCCTCCTAGCTCCTTCCTCCCTCCCTCCTGGTTTCTGCCCTCCTCTTTTCTACGTCTCCTGTGACAGCTGGGGACCAGGAGCTGATAGAAACTGAGTCATATGTGGACAGGCAATGTGGGTGACTGTGAACCGTCATTCCATCACTGTGATGCCACACAAGTGTGATAATGTTAGGTGATACTCCTGAGGACCAGGACACGGGTAACTGTGTGCTCAGCACCCCTGTTCCCCTGGCTGGAGCCCCACCCCCCAGGAAGGACGAGCCCTTAAGGACCAGCACTCCCTTCTGCTGTTCCTGTAGCTGATTTTGGTCCTGCTTCTTGGCTCTCTTGAGTTTCACTGGAGAAGGGGCCTGAGCTCAACCTGGTTCTATTAAATTTACTTCCTGAGACCTGAGGCACAGGTGTCTGTTCACCACCATTTCCAGATGCCTGGGAAAGTGTCAGAGGACGAAGTTGATCAGAACTGAGCCCAGCCGTGATGGGCCTTAGGGCAATAAGAAGTGGAGATGCTCCTGGCATAGTGACTCCTTTGACCCCTAAGGCTCTCCATGAGGGAAGAGCTTCTATCACAAAACCCTTTTATAGTCAAGGAACCCGAGGCATAGAGAGGTGGAGGAATTTGTGGAAGGTCACACAGCTAGACAGGGCAGAGCCAGGATTTAAAGGCGGGCTTAGCTTCTGCACCCTTGCCCCTTCACCCCACGGTTTCCAAATACCTCAAGAAAAGCGCAGAAGGTTGCTACGGTAGTTTCTGGAAGCAGAGGTTCAGGCATGCGCAGGACTCCTGTGCAGGCAGTATACAGAGAAAACACTTGTGCTCTGTGAGCCCACTCCACTGAGGACATTGAGACTCCTCCCAGCCCAAAGTTCCACAGGGGGTGGGGGGCGTGTCTAATCCAGCTGCAGCTGAGACCTACTTTCTTCACAAATAATAGCCTTGCTGAACAGATGGGACGTTCGTTGTCAGACGACGACGCTCTTCTTTCAGAATTGCCTCCTTCTCAGCAAGTGAGCCCGCCCCTCAGGAGGAAGGCGCTGCCTGGGGCTTGGAAGCCAGCCAGCTGAGGATCTGTAGGCCATAGGCTGCCAGCAGCTGCAGGCCTATGGGGAGCAGAATGCAGGCATGAGGCAGGCCTGAGAGGAGGGTGGGAGGGGGCACCTGACAGGGAGGGCAGAGAGAAGCATGGGCCCTCGGGGTGGGCAGGGTCAGCACTGTATCTCCCCAGGAGATTGCTTGGCTACTGCGGTCTGCAGCTGGAACTGCATCCCCTGACCTAGGAGCACCCGTGTCCAGAGGCTGTCCAGCCTTTGACACAAGCCTGATCCATCAAGTTTCTGGCCCCCTGTCTCCTAGGGGGTCAGCCTCCATCCTTACCGGTGAGGCAGGGAGTGCACAAACAAGCAAGCTCTCGGTCTCCAAGGCTGGGAAGGGCGTCCAGGGCTCATCTTCACTGCTGCTCACCAGGACTCCAAAGAGCGATCGATACCATTGGTATTTATTGCTCCCGACTATGGAACCAAACACCGCCTGCAGCTGCTGCCGCAGGAATCAGGCGACTCTGCTGTTTTACCTTCTCCTTCTCTTTTTCGTCAAACACAAGCTGTGCAGCTATGGATTCACCAAGTCCTCAGCTTGAAGTTTCTGGAAGAACTGCAGCTCCCACCCTAGGAGAGGAGGGGAGTCCCCTGATTTGGGCACTAGAAGAAATAATTTCATTTACTTGTATAAAAGAAAAAAAACGCATCCATAAATATGTAGTGGAGCCAGCCAATAGAAATCCAGAAAAAGGGTTGCATAAATGTTTATTGTAAAATCAAAATTCTCAACTGCAACACCGTCTGGTGAAAAAAAATTAAATGATTTCAGTTCCAAGTCAGTGAAATCTGCCAGGGCGGCTTCTGGGCAGTGGAGTGAGTGAGTGAGGAGCATATCGCACAAAGATAAATGCTGGGCTACAGTTTTGTTTTCAGATTTAACGACTTGTTGTAAACACTGCATGGGGAAGGACTCAGCATCATATGGCCCTTTGGGAAGTAGTGACAGGTCTCTGTGGCCCTGAGACCCTGACTTCTGATGGATGTTTGGGAACAAAAGATTGAGCTTGGTCTGGACGTTTGCTGTGGTTTGTATTGACATTTCTCGTGGCAGTGACGTAATAGATGGCTGTCTTTCAGGGGTTTCATTATGATGATTTTTGTCCATCAGTGTGATCTGGAGAACCAGAAACTCTGGTGTGAGATATGGAAGACAGACAGACAGCATCAGGTGGATTGCAGGAATCAGGATGGTGAGACTAGCATGTCTGGTGCTTGTGGGGTAGCCTGGGAATCCAGACTGGAGTTGATGCTGTTGCCTGGAGCAGAGTCCTCCTCTGGATCCTCCAGACTTTGCTGACGCTGAGGTCCACCAGTGCTGTTGAGAGTCTTCCCTGCTCAGATCTGAGTGGCTGTGATGCTAGCTGCAGGACCCAGGGCAGCTCCAGCCCCTCCTTTAGGGTCTGGCCAGGGAGATGCATGGTGCTGACATTACACATGCATCAAATGTTTCTGGATTCACTTTGAGAGCAGATACATCTTTATTTTCTTCCATCCTGAGTTAGAGACATAGGGTTTCTCCACACCAGGTGCAGGTCACTGTGGAGAGCCCAGGGAAGAAGTGGCAGGTTGGCTCTAGCCCCGGCATTCTGCTTCCCCCAGGGCTATGGGCAGGGCCAGGTTGGAATGGAGATACATTGGGATCCTCTCAGAGTGCTGCCCTCTTAGCCTCTGATGTAGCCCGGAGACCACAGGAAGACACAGGCTGGAGGGGGAGCAGTAGAAAGTGATCCTGAAACCAGCACAGAAACTCCTTTTAGCTGAGTCCCACAGGTGGATGAGTACGTGGCTCAAATGTGAATCAGGACCACTGTCAGCCCCTCACCTTGTGGCCTTGCTGACCTGCAGCTCTGACCAGGGCTGAGGTCACCTCCCACAACCCACCACCTTGACCCAGGCTGGTCAAGTCTCACTTTGAATCCTACATCCACATCCTGAGGGTGACTGTTCACCATGTAGCTCTCCATCAGCCTAATAGGGGGAGCCCAGTGGGGATGGGTCTAAGCTCCTCCAGTCTGCCTATCTGTCTCTCTGAGCTTCAACTTCTTTATTTGAAAAAAAGACTCAGGAAACTGATGTAACCTGCCAAACAGCAAAAACTAGATCAGAAGTATCTGCCAGCTGCCAGGTCTCCCATGAAAGCTGCAGCATGAACTGAGAGGAAGGGGGCCTGGACACTCCCATGCCCCCTTCCTCCCCACACATCGCCCTCCAGGTCCTGATGCCCATGGCTTCCCCTCTGCCAGCAGTGGAGCAGGCCAGCAGAGGCTGGACCCAGCAGGGCCTGCTGCCGTGCTGATCTGACCTACCTCCACCCACTACCAGTCATAGCCTTGAACTAATTCATGCCATCTCGAGCACTTGCCTAACCCTCATGATAGGGCTGGGGAGGGGGGGAATGCCTAGGTTTGGTTTTCTGTTTTCACACTTCAGGTTGGAAATTGTCAAGGTCTGTCCAACCACTCAAATGTGGGCTAAGACTTTCTTGAAGACCCCTTCCTCTCACCCTCTTGGGCATCAAACCTGCCCCAGTCTATGATTATTTCAAGTTCCACCTAAGTAAACCCCTCAGTGCACAAGACTTTAGACTCCCGTCCTCTGGGACCTTGTGCCCTGCCCTCTCCTGCCCACCCCTTTCCACATTCATGGTCAAGAACTACAGCTCGCTTGTGCCACTGCCAAATGTCTTTGTTCTTACTGCCACCTCCGTCTGGACAGCCCACGGCTTTGAATGCTCCGGGTCAAACCATC